CTCTATTTCAGCTAAAAACCAGGACACTGTGGAAGTCTTGGATGCTTTATTTTGCTAAGACCTTCAAATGCAAACTCTCAAAGGAAAAAGGTTATGACCTGTGGGTATTTGCATGTCTGTCTGGCACAGATCTTGGCTTTTGCTGGATGGCATGATTTCCATTTGGAATAAAGGAATGTATATATATATGTTGATCAAGGATTATTTATATGTTGTTTGAGAACTTGTGACTGATTCTGGAGGCTTGTTTAGGAATCTTTAGCTAAAGTATTGCTTGCTGGAAATTGCTATAAAGTGAGGAAGTAGTTCCATGATAGCTGGTTGTAAGTATAAAATATGAAAACTATATTTAAGCATAACTACAGAGTAACTGTAGAAAGAGTAGCTAAACCTTGGTGTAAATTCCACTTGGACTCAATTAGCACCAATTTGTTTTCTATTGCTGGAGAAAACCAGAGTGTGCCCAAAAGCAATACAGACAGAAGAAAAACTGCATCTGTGTTTATAAAATGTCACCAGCCTATCCTAATGAGTGAACAAATCGCAATAACAAATGTGAAGGGAGCTGGGAAGGCTTGTGTTAAGACTATAACAAACTGAGGAAGGTTAGAGCTAGACTAGGTGCAGGCCACTGTGTAACTGAATAACGTTTTCTCATTAGCTACTGAAGGAAATTCTGTACTGCTTATTGTTGTTCCCTGTTACACACATGCAGTGTATGCGTTTAAAGCTAAGACCTCTTGTGTTTTCTATGTCGACTTTAATAACCAAAATGGTAATAAACCACTCTGTTAGATGTTTAGAGCCCAGCATTAACTTGTTAGATCTTCACATGGACCTGCCATATAAATTGCTTTCTTTTCTTCTCAGACCTGCTTCTGCTATTAGATGATGACTTTTGACTTCTCTAGTCTCAGTTTTGGCTTGACAACAAAATTGATGCTCGGGCTTTTTTTTTTTTTTTTTTTTAATCTGTGGTAAAGCAGCAAAATCCTGCTATGCTGGTAATACCATAACAACATGATAGGACATGGCTTCTTTGAAGTTTAAGTTGAAGTCTGTTGGCAGTTACCTTTTTTGCACAGTCTACACGCACAGTTGTACTATCAAGATGATGATTGTGTTGCTCACATAGTCCAAACACCAGCAGCCATTCTGGCACATCTTAGCTGGGAGAGCTAAACAGTAAATACTCTCTTCATGACATCCTATGTTCAGTTCCTCAAGTCTGTTCAGTTCCTCAACACTTCACTGTGTCAGTGGTGTTAATACTTAGCTCCATATACTGAGTATTACTTCCAGGTGTGTAGCTTTCCTTTTCTGTCTTGCAGCTATTTTTTGGTTGACGTGTGTAGTTGCTTACAGTTAACTCACTAAATTTTTAGTTTATGCATTCAGTTTTTATAATAAATGGCTCACATTATCCATTCATTTGTTTTCCCGTTAACTTCAACAACATACTGTAGAGCAGTTACTAAGTTTTATTTGAGATTTAAATTAATTCATAAAGAGAACTGAAAGAATGACATTGCAGGAGTTGATCTCTAATTTGCATGATTTATACTCTCCAATGACTTTTTAAGTGAGCATAGTTATTTAATTGCTTTAGTGTTAGTCTGACCAGTTTGTTCTAGAAGATGCTGATAATGTAAAGGTGGCTTTGGATGGTGGTGGATCCTGGTCACAAAGATCAGCTCTTCCACTATTACACAAAGCTAGTGCAGTTTGACAACTGGTAGTTGCAATGGTTTTACTGTATCTGACTGCTGTTTTACTGTGGTGTTTAACTGTGTTCAAAATAAGTCTGCTGTGATTGAAAGACTTTAGGAAGAACCTAAGTGAAGTAGCAACGGGGAAGAACATTCCCAGGGTGAAGCGATAGGAACTGTGCTTTTCAGTACACCAGTTTTGCACACTTTATTTCTGCTCTTCAATTAGTATTGCAGTTGTATTTGCAACAGCTTTAATTGCTTTTAATATGTCAAAATGGTTCTTTTCATCTTGGTGAGTAGGAATCTGAATTACTTTATTACAAAAGTCAAGGTGATGTTTGATAGCCTCTTTATTGCTTAATTTGTTGCAGTGAAGAAGCTCTCCACTTCATTTACATAAGTCCATAAAGTAGCAAATTCATGTGTTCCACAAATGGTAACTTTTTTGTTTTTCTCATATTTAGGAAGGCTGTGGAAGAGTTACTTAAAGAGGCAAAACGTGGGAGAACCAGAGCTGAAACAATGGGAGCCATGGGTTGGTAAGTTGTGTGAAGAGGAAGTGAATGCTGTGACCGATGCCAAAATAAATTTTACATTTAATGCCTGGCAGAATTGTCTACCTTTTAATTTGCTTCATGTTTAAATAATTTGTCTTCATCCAGGTATGAATTTGTCAGGACAAAAATTTGAGTTCGGATAAGAAAAGTTGAAGTAAATTCTACCTGCATGAAATAGTTTGACTGAATGTGTCGAAGTCAGAGCAATTGGAAAACTGGGAATAGCTTCTGTAGAGGTGTTTCCTTATAATAGATGTAATTGCAAAGTTTGGATTGAAATGTGGTGAGCCTTTAAAATGCTGGGTAGCTTCGGTGTGCATGTACTTACATGCTGGCCACATTACTGGGTTAGATTCTGTTTAAGTTAAAAGAATTCATAGCCTGGCAAAGAAACTTAAACCCTTAAAACAATTTAAAAAATAAATGATCCTCTAGTAGAGAATCCATATGTAAATTGCAGCCAAAAATGAACTCAAAGTATAGTCCAACTTTGGAAGGAGGTATTTTTTAATACTAAAAATCCCCCTAAAACACAGGGGCTAATTTATATAGCAAGTGAGAAAAGAATCACGGTATTTAAATCTTCAGTGAAATGCAGTATTAATTCTTCAGTGCAGTATTTCAGTTTTTACAGCTAGATTATCATAATGTAGTGCATGCAATTTTAATTAAAGAAGTAATAACATGCTGAGAAGAGTAATTCATCTTAAAATAATATATATGACTGATAAGAAGCTATCAGATCAAGGGATGTTCACACAGGTAGTGCACCAGTTGACTGCGTTAAACTCATTTGTAGATAAGGTTTGGCTTCTTCCACCAACAGTAGTAAAAGATAAGCCTGTGTGGTAATGAAGTTCTCAGCTGATTTCTTGGCTGTGTTTGTTTTAGCAGCTCTGAAGAGATGAAAATAGGGTCTTGCTGAAAAAACTTAATCCTTTATGTTTTTCTAAACAAGTTTTGTGTGGTTTATATTTTATGCAGTATTTCTGCTAAGGATGCAGTTTATACCCTTAATGTTAAGATAGTTATATTGGTTTAATCCCCTAGAGCGGTTACAGCTATACAGATACAGCATGCTTCTACCCTGTCACCCTTGTCAAGTGGCCAGGGAAACCAGTGCAGATAATTAGCACCATGAAGTATTGCATACATCCTGTTACTGTGAATTTCCAAGTTAATTCCAGATACGGAGACTAAAGATTTCTGTTGGGAGATACCCAGGTGTCCCTTCAGAACTTCACTGCTGCTTGTGCAGTCTGGAATGCCTGCCAGGAGTGTGTATGGGCTTCTACTCCTGGCTCCGGCTACTTCTTATTCCTTGTCTGTAAAGGGGTAATGGTTGTGCTCAGTTGGCTGGGATGATCAGTTTGTTTGAATGGAGTTTGCTAAAGCCTGATAACCACGACCTGTCAGAGGAGGGGATAGCCGAGGGTGGCCTGTTGTTCAGAAGAGCTGCAGATTCACTAGAGTGAAAATAGGGTCTGGCTGGGCCAGGGCTGTTAAAGGTGTAGAAGGAGAAGATAGTCAAGAAGGCTTCAGGCAGAGGAATACTGTTGACAGGAGTTGGTGTGGTGATATCCTGAACTGAGACTGTTGAAGTAAGGATCATTTCAACTGCAGAAGAACGTGAGAATAGCTATACTGGGCCAAACAGAGGATCTATCTCTGCAGTGCCCTGTCTCCATCAGTGGCCAATAGCCGGTGCCTAGGAAATGGAGGAAGAAAAGTACAAGAAAGTAGCCATACTTCCTCAAAGTACTGTCCCAGCTTCAGGCAGTCTGCAGCTCAGGGTATCCTGCACTCAGAGATGGTTTTTTTTGTATATGAAATTTCTCCAGGGATTTTTCCCCTGTCTGAATTTATCCTTAGTCTGGTAATAATCCCATTTGTCAAAAATTGCTGCTGTAGAGTTTGACATAGGGTAGCGTACAGCTGGTGTAAGCATCCATAAGGAGGGTATAAAACGCCCATAAGCAGACTCCCACAGTAAGTCTTTGGTGTCAAGCTCTACAAGGGCAAGAGACAGAGCAGCAGCTGGAAGCTGCCACCGCTCTCTTGCTTTTAATATTTTTCATGCCCCAGTTGTGCTGTTCTGGTCCTTCTGAACTGGCCCAACAACTGGGTATTGCATATATACATGGGAGATAGGATAACCAGTAAGGTATTTGTAAGGAAACTTAACTATGCGCAGTTGAATATCACACTCCAGCAAAATGCCATCAGATGTAACTGATGTTACAGCAAATCGTGAAGGGCTTCAGAGATCAGATCCAGGACTGACATGTAACCTTGCAACTGTAAACTACTGCAAGGAAGGTAACTGCTGCTCTGAGCTTTGTGATGCCAAATGAAATGAGCAGAAAAGTTAGTTCATTAAAATGTGTATTAGTAGACCAAATCCAGGAAAGCATAACTGGTAGAAGCGAAGAGACAAGGTCATCATAAAGTTGTCTAAAAGCACACTCTTAACAGGTAAAACACAAAACCTTCCTTCCTTGCCAAACTCAAAATGCTTACAGGTGTGTTTCATGAGGACTTCTGGGATTTCCTCAGCCCTTTGTCAGAGGAGTCCTGGAGAAGAGGTGCACAAACCCTGGAGACATCTAGTGTAAGGCCATCAATCCTGCATTGGCACTGGATAGTTGAAGCAACTCGGCCTGTGAAGAAAAGATTTGTTCTGCCATCTCTCTTTGGGTAAGGAGAAGCAGAGGCTGCTACTGCTCATACTTCACTGATTCCAGTTTATGTTCATCTCCAGCAGCTGTTGGATACTGGGAAATATGTTTCTGGAGTCAGTGGCATTTGACAGGAACTGGTTAAAGGGAGGTTTGTGGGGAGGTGGCATTTTTGGGGAACTATATTGTGCATACCATTAAAAAGGAGTAGTGTCTCCTGGTGGGTGTTGATGGCAGCAAAATCTTAGCTAGCGAGCCTCTGAACATGGTTTCGGGACTGCTTTCAGCTTCAAGCTGCTACTCCATTACTATCCGGAGTGATTAGTTCTCCATAGCTCAAGTGCACTGCTTGAAGAAGTTCCCCAAGCACCCCTACCTAACTTTTTGCTGTCTCCTTGTGCAAGATGAATAGTCAGCTGCTGTTTGAGCCTAAGTTGCAAGAGTCCAAGCTAGCATTGTTCAGGGGTACGGAAGAAAAATGTACCGAGCGATTGTCCTTTAGCCCACAGTCTCTGATTCAAAGACTCAGCCTTGAAATATGGTTCAGTGTTGCTGGTATTTCTTCCAGTTTGGGAACACTTTGCCAGTGTTACATTGTCTTACAAGTTTGCTGTGGATGACATGGGCAGGTGCTGCAACCTGTAGGATTAGATGTTATTAGAAAAAAGGCTTGTCCCAAACAGGGAGGTTGGCAGAGATACCAGGCAAGAGCTTATGCGGGAAAGGACATAATCTGAGACGCCCTGGACATGGAGCAACTGTCGTTATTGCTAGTGGCCATACTAATGGCATGAGCTCTTACTTGGTTAAGAGTCCTAGCTCATGGGCTTCCATGCTCTCAGGACTGCTTAGATTGACTGTATCTAGGCCCGTGGCAAATTAATCCAAGAAATACTGGATATTCATATTTGTAGATCTCACTTTTTTTTTTCCTCTGGAATATTGACTTGTTCCTTGGATGTCCTCAAGATTCTTGCTCTCCACACGGCAATATTTCTAGTTCCTGCAGTGCTCCTTTTGTATGTACTCTATGGTTGTATTGATTCTTGTTGGGGTCTCCTATGTCCTTGCGATACCACATGATGTAGATCCTGATGATGATGTATCTGGCTCAAGCATTAGTGAAACTAATCACAAGTAAGAAAATGTGTGAGAGAAGGGTAAGGGAGGATCCTTTTCTGAAGGTGTCTTAATCCTGGAAATGGTGAGAAAGAGAGAACAGAATCTGTGTCTAAACCTCAATGATGCTGCTGTGATGCTGGAACTTCTGAGATGAGAAAAGGCATCAGAGCAGCTGTTGGAAAGTTAACACTTGAAGGGCCAACTGGATCCAGGATGGGAAGTTGTGGACAAATAGTGTAAGAACACTTGAAACAGGTGAATTTATCCTTGATTCATCAAATGGAATAAAGATGTAAGGTGTTGGGATTTCCATTGTGTGTCTAGGTAAAATCAAGCTAAAACCTCAGCTTCCCTTAACTGGTTTTGTTGGTTCTATGTATATAATTCATAAGCTTCTTACAGCAGTGGAGTTAGGTCCCATTTTAGGGGGCTGTTCTGCTTTAATTGAGAAAGGCAGTTAAAATGCCACAAAAGTGACTGTGTGGACAAGTGCTAGAGGCTATTATTTATTTATTTATTTATTTATTTATTTTACTCCAGTGTATACGTCTGGTCTCCAGAAATATGGGTAGCAAGTGAGCTGAGACTGAACTGAATGTAATCTTCTTGGCTTACTTTAAAAGCTTACCTAAAATAAGATACGGAAAGCAAGATATTTTGGAATGGTTTGTTCAGCTCTGCATTGTAAGAGCAGATTAAGTTGTCAAAAAAGAGGATAAATGTTGGAAGCATTAAATTATTTTTAACCCTGTTGTAAAGCAATCTTAAAATTGCTTTCATTCCTGTGGGTAGCTTTCTGCTCAATATCAAATCTGTGAGTCAGATGTACAACAGAATACAAAATAAAGGTGAGGCTGAAGGGTTTGAGAGCACTGGAACTGTGAAGTGCTGTATTGCATCTTGCCTTTGAACGAGTGCTGCAGAAACACTGCAGTGTGATTCCACTGCATCTCTTCCATTTGAATGTGAAGAGGAGGACAAACAGGGTACAGACAGAGGTTGCAAAGGAAATATGTTAAAATCTTGTGATCAGAGCACAGGTTCCCATCCAAAGTCCTACCAGCTTTATCAGCTGCCAAGACCATACATAAAAGCTTGCAGTGTCATCCCATGCATCCTCTTTTGTGATATCCCCTGTGAAAGGATAACAGCCTAGATTAGTTGGTTTGGCAAAACAACCTCTAGATGCCTTTTTTTTTTCTCCTTCCTTCAGTCACTCTTCTGTTAGGTACCATATTTTCCATGGCAGTTTGGAAGTGGTAGAAATTTACTTGTAAGTTCATGTGTAATGAACTCTGTTTCCTGGAAATATCTGATTTATGCTGCATGCTGAGGCTGACTGTGCCAAGCCTGTTTGATGTGTCCAGTTGCTCAGCAGAGAAGACTGTGGTGTATGGCACTGTACTCTTGTATCTTAAATGGTGTCAGCATGTTTTACTGTCAAGAACTTGTATGGTACCTTTCTATGCTGAAAATCACTGCTACATTTGATGACTGGTGTTGGCTGGAAATTCTGTGTTATTGCACAGAAGTTGGCTTTAAATGTCAAAAGCAGAGTTAAGATTTGATCTGTGTTCACAATAATGGATTTAATATTTTTTTCTTGCTCAAAATGTGATGTTGACACTTCGTCACTACATAGTAGAGAGATTCTGGGGCATGTGGGACTTACCTGTGGAAGGGGACAAGGTTCTGTGGGTAACAATAGCTTGGTTTAGCTTACAGAAACGTGCAAAGCAAAAAGTGAGCCCTTACATTGACTGAGAATATTGCTACAGAACTAGAGTCTGTTTTGTGGACAAGACTGCTCTACAGTTGCAGGTTGTGTGCTTGCTTTGGTCATGCCTGCAGGCATGCTTCAGTTTGGAACTTTACTGTTCTTCTAACATGTCTGCTAAAATAAAAGTTTTTGTGATCTGTTCTGTGGCATTGTTCACTAGTCAGCAATATTGTGTTCCACCCTGCATGGGCTGAGCTTGCCTCCCAGCCCTTCAGAACTTACATTGAGGGCAAAGCTGCTGCTGAATTGAGCGTTGCAGGATCGGACCTACAGCAAGGCAAAGGCTGGTCTTCGGGGAGGTCAACCGTGGAAGTATCCTACAATTTTCTCACCCTTAGAAATGCTCTCAAAGGTATCAGTAGATTAATACAGTTCACTTTTTTTAATCTTCACATTTCTATATATGCTATGGATATACGCAAAATTACGTGCTTGTGTGTGTGCATGCATAATGTAGCACATGCCATATCTCTCGTTTCCTTTAAGACGTAACAGCACAGTTGGCTTTGTTGAAGTCTGAGGTCAATAAAACTAAGGACTGATGTTTCTCTTCAGTGTCATAAGTTACTGCTGGTCTGTGAGAGCCTGGTGGCTTGCTTTTAACACTGGGTGGTGGTGAAATAATGGCATCTTTTAGCTGATGCTGAAGTCCTGCATTTCTGCTCGGTTTTCATTCTTAGTATAGCTCAGGCAGCACTCACAGAGCCAAAAAGAAATAAATACTTGAGCGAGGTGAATTTATTTAGGGCAGACTGTCCCTTTCTGGTGCGCTATATATATTAGTGCTTAATCAATGCATTAGCTCTTAAGAAAAAGAAAGAGGAAGAAGGCAGATGTGGAAGAGTTTTTGCCTGGATGCAGCCTAGAGAAGGCTGCCCTCCTTGGTAGGAAATGTAGGGGTGCAACAGTTCAATACTGGCATAAGACAGAGAGAGGACTGAAATGTTGGCTCATTTGTGTTATGTCTTGAGTGTTACCTGTACCATGGCATGTTCAGCACCTCATTCATAGCTGATGTGGCTTGAAGTAGAAACCCTGTTCTACTGGGATATGTTAGCCTTGCATTTTTACTCAGGAATAAAGTTAATGAATAAATACTGTCTCCCTAATTTTCATATCTAGACTCTTTTTTCTTTCTTTTTTTTAACCAGCATTTGAGCAAAACATTGTAGATTTATATGTAGAAAGTTTAGAAAACTCAAAAACTAGCTGTGCTGTAGAAATGTATCAAGAAACACCTAGTGGAAATAAAACAGTGTGGCTGTTTAATGTGTGATTCTAAAATGACTCTCATAAGTTCTTTCAGGATTTAGAACAAGAACAATTACCAGTAATGCTTAGTAGGCAGACCTGAAGCAAACACCACAGTAAATGCCATGTCCAGTTAAAAGTCAGGAAGTGTGCTAAATAATCGGACATGATCGTCGTTACAATTTTCTTGTTGTTCTGATACCTCTGATTATTCAGAGGTGTTAAAGGTTTTTAAATGGTCAGGGTATAGTTTCTACACTTACACAAAACATTCAAGTAGAATAGATGATCTTAGCATTGCGGCGTTAGGATTCATTGACTCCGTAGTTGATTCAGTAAGTGGGACTGTGATCTCCAACAGCTCTGCTCTTTTTAGAGTAATCCTGTAACTTCTCCATTAGCATGCAAACTCAAAAATGTTGTGAAAACAAACGCTACAGTAGCTCCCACTATAAACAAAGTCTTCTGAATGATTTCTGCTTACTGCAGGAATATATTTAAACCTTGTTTTTTTTCTCATTCCATTCTCTGAGAGATGATAAATTGGGAATAAATAGCATACAGCTGATACCAACAAGATAAATAAAATGTAGACTACTGGTTTAGCTGATAAATTATCTGCAAGACGAGGAAGTCGGAAACGATGGAAAAGAGTTGGATAAGTATCCTTTCTGTTTCAGAAAAAGAGATATAATACTTTGGTTGCCAAATATAAATTAAAAATTGGTATGCCTTATGTGTCTGTTTTATTACTGCAGCTGTTTGGGCTCTTCGTGCGAGTGTATCTTTTACTTTCTGAATATCTCCGTTTGTTAAATAATACTGACTTTAGTAGAGCATGATCTTATAAACGATTCTGATTTGACTTGGAATATGTTATTAAATATTTGATTCCTGAATACTTAAGTTAAGCACTGTCAGCCTTAAAATATATTGACATCCTCTGCTTCCCCCTGCACATACTACCTTGTGACAATCACGTGGATTTTCACTGTATTGAAGTAAAATAATTTTCATCCTATAAAGGGTAAGATAAAAGGAGAATGGAGACAACCTTGAGCATATCTTTCTGTACTGAGAGTTTACACTAGGTGGCATGCAAGGAAAGCCAAAAGCACAAACCTGTCTTAAAATTATTGAAATTAAAATCTCTGACTTGTTTCGGGATGTTTTTATCTTGTCTTTTGATCACTTTTTAATGTCTTTACAGGTTGAAATGTCCTCTTGCTGGTACAAATAAAAGATTTCTTATTAATACCATCAAAAATACATTACCATCTCAAAAAGAACAAGACCAAGAACGAGAGCAAAAGGAAGATAGTAAGGAGCCTGAGCCAAACAAAAGCAGGAAAGAAGAAAAACCAAAGAAACGCAGAATTCATCCATACACACCCAGCTTTCAGTCCAGAAGGAGAGTCAGCTACTCTCCTCCAAGGCACCGGAACAGGAACCAGCACACAAAGGATAAGCATGAAAAGCGATCAAGCAAACGATGAGGAGAGAAGAGTGGCAAATATGTGTTGTTACAAGCCAGGAGTGTCATTAGGCGTTGGACTGCAGGGAAGTCTCAGTTTTTCAGGAAAGGATGCTGTTCAAAATTGAATTTTGAACCAAGTTGCTTGTGTGAGAAGTAACCTTGAGGTAGCTTTAGAAAACCTTTCTTTGGGACCTTTAGGAGAAAAGCAAAGTGCAGTGTAAATCTTTCCATTGTTTTAGAACAGACATTCCTTTCCCGTTGCTCCATTCCTCTCTCCCTTTCTGACTAAGCTTAGGGTCTTGGTGATGGAGTGTGATACGCGTGTCACTGTCTGATACAACTCCTTTAGTCATGTCACTCTTTTGGAAATAAATATAAATTAAGCAGAAATCTATTTATTGTGTAAAGTTGGTGGAACTTCTTTGCTGCTGACCAATAAAGAAGTTTTGCGTGTCTAGGCTAGTTTAGTTTTACTGAATGTAGAAGAAGTTAAAGCTGGTCAGTGCCTGGCCAAGCACATCCATTTTGTATAGAATATGAGAGTTTGCTTTCATTAGTATAAAAAGAAAATGGACAACATTGTTTTGCTTTCCAGAAGGAACTACTAGGAAATACTGATTTTGCTTGTTATTGTATATTCACAAACTGGTCATAGATAATAATCAACGTTACCCCTAAAAAGCCATATCTGCAATAATTGTCTCTGTTTAGACTTCCCTCTGTAGGGAAGTAGTTTGAACAGTCTGTTGTCACGGTGCTTTAAAAAAAAAACCCTCGAAAACAAAATTGTCATGTTCTCTGTCCACTGCTATGACGTTCCCAAGCAAATATGTAATACCAGAAATGCAGAGGAGATACTTCAAAACAAATGTTCACTTTTCAAGCCTGTGTGACAATTCTGTAGTGGTACAGTTCTGAAACTTGTGACTTCGAGCATGTATGATACACATCAGCATATTCTAAGTCTCACTTCTGTTTGTGTTACAATAACAAACTTCTGTGTGAAATATTTTGTATTTCAGTATTCTCAGAAGTAATTGCTTTGAACATAGGTTTTTGGTTTTAAGTGTGTTGACAATAAATTCGAAAATGTTCATTAAAAGTGCTTTGTGGAGTTAATGCTTTTAATGGGTTTCTTAACTGACATGGGCCTCTCTAAGGGAAAGGAGGACCAGTGCTTCATGGTCCTTCGGTGTTGTGTCGAGCCAAGAGTGCCACCTATAGGCTTATCTATACTTTGTCTTGCTATACTTAACCTGTCTCTCTTGGAAAGATCATGTTAGCTAGGAGATGAGACCAAAGTGGAGATCTGCTGTGGCTGGATTTTGATGCCTGAGCTGGGCATTACTCTTCTAAGTAACGGGAAGGTAGTTAAGCAGGTGTTGAGGCCGCTGGTGCCAGGGTCAGCATATCCAACAAAGTGGGATGCTTTTATGTTTCCACTGGGGAGTGGAGGATAGTTTATTTCCCTGCAGGAACCATAGCACTGTAATAGAAGTCTCACCCTTTCAGAAAATGTCTCATGGTTTAAATGGGATCAAGGAAAAAGTAGTATCTTTGGAGAATGTAGACTGTCTTTGGTTTAAATAAACAGATGCTGTTTGCAGTCCGTATTTTGCAGGACACTGTTTGTGTTATCATTAGTAAACCTTTTTGGAAGGACAGCACCTGTAGTGCCAGCCAGGCTGGGCTGCAGTGACAGTGTTGGGTAGATGTGGCTTTGCAGCAAAGAAGTCATCTCGTCATTGGTCAGGACTGGGTCTGGAGATGTTCCACAGGACAAACCCCTGTAAATTCTTGCTGCTCTGGCTTGCGGTGATAATATGATGTCCTGAAAGCTTTCCACACTGAGGCCTTCAAACATCCCTTTAGGATAAGTGCTGCTGTTGATTCCACATTAATTTATAGAATCATAGAATGGTTTGGATTGG